ACGTTTCTCGGACCATCGCGACCGCATCCCCAAGACATGTTGCATGAACTGCGGGCCCTGGGCTGTGCTGATCAGCAGACGGAGACCGAGGAGCTCAAGCGGAAGCAGAATACCGAGGAGCTCATGCAGCAAAAGCGAGACAATACCGAGGAGCTCATGCAGCAAGTGCGAGACCTCGGCCGCCACCCGAAGGAGTATGCTGGGCGTAGCCTCGCAGAGCGGCAGCTGGCAGAGAAAGTCCAGAAAGCACGGAAGGCCAACCAGTTCTCCCCGGAGCAGGACGCCGAGCTCCAGGCCCTCAAGCAAGCGGAGAGCGATAGCGATGTGTATGACTCCCCAGAGGGGGTCCGGGCAGGATCTGAGGAGAAACCGCGGAAGTCGTATTAAGCAAACAATCTTCGAGGTCCCAGAGCTCCATTCCCGGGCCACATTCTGAATGCCCGGAGCCAACTGTGAGCCGTTTCGTGGTCTTCGAGTTCCCTGAACACCATTCCCGGGCCACATTTTGAATGCCCGGAGCCAACTGTAAGCCACTTCGTGGTCTTCGAACTCCCAGAACTCCATTCCCGGGCCACATTTTGGATGCCCGGAGCCAGCTGTAAGCCACTTCGTGGTCTTCGAGTTCCCAGAACTCCATTCCTGGGCATGATTTTGAATGCCCGGAGCCAACTGTAGGCCACTTCGTGTCCTTCGAGTTCCCAGAATTCCATTCCCGGGCCACATTTTGAATGCTGAGGCAGGCTGAGGCTGAGGCTGAGGCAGGCTGAAGCTGAGGCAGGCTAAGGCTGAGGCCGAGGCTGAAGGCAGACTGAGGCTGAGGCTGATGCAGGCTGAGGCTGAGGCAGGCTGAGGCTGAGGCTGAGACTGAAGGCAGACTGAGGCTGAGGCTGAAGCAGGCTGCTGAGGCTGAGGCTGAGGCAGGCTGAGGCTGAGGCTGAGGCAGGCTGATGCTGAGGCAGGCTGAGGCTGAGGCTGAGGCTGATGCAGGCTGAGGCTGAGGCAGGCTGAGGCTGAGGCCGAGGCTGAAGGCAGACTGAGGCTGAGGCTGAAGCAGGCTGAGGCTGAGGCTGAGGCTGAGGCTGAGCAGGCTGATGCTGAGGCAGGCTGAGGCTGAGGCTGAGGCTGATGCAGGCTGAGGCTGAGGCAGGCTGAGGCTGAGGCTGAAGGCAGACTGAGGCTGAGGCTGAGGCAGGCTGAGGCTGAGGCTGAGGCTGAGGCTGAGCTGAGGCAGGCTGAGGCTGAGGCAGGCTGAGGCTGAGGCAGGCTGAAGGCAGACTGAGGCTGAGGCTGAAGCAGGCTGAGGCTGAGGCTGAGGCAGGCTGAGGCTGAGGCTGAGGCTGAGGCTGATGCTGAGGCAGGCTGAGGCTGAGGCTGAGGCTGATGTAGGCCACTGCGACTGTCATCGCGAATGCGACTACGACTGCGAGAACAGCAGAATTCAACAACTGGATTCTCATCTGAATCTTAAGGGGAATGCTTCCAGATATGCTCCTACACATCGCTGTTAGGTTGCTTTGCCGGGATATCTCTCTCTCTATATATATAGAGATATTATCTCTCTCTCTCTCTCTTTTTTTTTCTCTCTCTCTCTCTCTCTCTCTCTCTCGCTCTCTTTGCGCCCGCTGCGGGCGCCGCCCCCCCGTGGCGCAGCGCGGAGGGCCTGGCTCGGCGCTGCAAGGCTCCGCGCCTGGCTTCGGGGGCGGCCCCGGCCAGGGGGGCAGCGGGGCGCCCCCGAACACGCGGCGCCGCCGCAGGCCGCGAGGGCGGGCGGAGGCCCGCGCTGGGCTTAGGGGGCGGCCCTTGTGGCCCGCGGGAGGCCGGGGCGCCCCCGCACGCGGGCGCGGGCCCGCGGCGCCGAGGCCCTGCGCGGCGAGAGCTCGCGGCGCGAGGCGAGAGCTCCAGGGCCCCGCAGGGGGGCTGCTCCCAAGAGCAGGGCCGGCAGCCTGCGACCCGTGGCGACGGCGCGCTTTGAAGGGCGCGATGCAGCCTCATCGCGCCTGCCGCGCTCCGCATCATGTCGGCTCAAAGCTGATTTGCAAAAGATCCGGGGGCAACTGAACTGTCCCTGCCGTCGCTTTGCTGTCGCCTTGCTGTCGCCTTGCGAATAAAAAATTACGTCTGATCGCGCCTGCCGCACTCCGTATCATGTCGACTCAAAGTTGTTTTGAAGAGCATCCGGGGGCAACTGGACTGTTCTTGCCGTCGCTTTGCTGTCGCCTTGCTGTCGCCTTGCGAATAAAACACTGCGCATCGCCGCTCCGAGAACTCTTTGAATGTTGTGAATTGGGCCCGATGGCATTGCGTGCTCGCCTACTTGGCAGCCCTCTTGGCGACGGCCCCGATGGGGTTGAGGGGCAGGGTGCATTGACCCCCCTCCCCCCCTGGAAGCTCAGCAAGATGTCCCTCTTGCGCGGTCTCGGCGGGATCCTTGGCGAGTAGTCCCCCCTCTAATGATAAAGTTTTAGTCTGGCCAACCATAAGTCCAACCTGTGAGACAAAAAGGTCTGCAGAAATCCCGCGGTGGAACCCAATCCCGCAAGTGTATGACGTGTTCGGGTCGTCTTTGAAGTCATCTTGACATCCTCTCCAGGTCCTCTGAAGACCATCGTGTTGTACTCTGGGAGTGCTCTGGCCACGTCGGGGTCGCTCTGGGGCCGCCGCGACTGGTCTCCGGGGCATCGCTCACATGTTGGGCCATCTTGGATTCGCCCGCTGGCCGTCTTCGTGCCCGTCTGAGGCCTTCGTGGAACCATCTTGGGGCCATCGGGCCGCCCAAGCATCCTGTCTGGGTCGTCTGGAGGTCTTCTGTGTTTCCAAGGAAACTTTCGCTGCGCCTGCGCCTGATCGCGCCTGCCGCACTCCGTGCCATGTCGGCTTAAGTTTGATTTGCAGGGGGTCTGGGGGCAACTGGGCTGCCCCTGCCGTCGCTTTGCTGTCGCCTTGCGAATCAAAAACCAGCGCATCGCCGCTCCGAAAGTTCTTTGAATTTCCTGAATTGGGCCCGATGGCATTGCGTGCTCGCCTACGTTGCAGCCCTCTTGGCGACGGCCCCGATGGGGTTGAGGGGCAGGGTGCATTGACCCCCCTCCCCCCCTGGAAGCTCAGCAAGATGTCCCTCTTGCGCGGTCTCGGCGGGATCCTTGGCGAGAAATTCCCCTTCTAATGATAAGGTTTTAGTCCGGCCAACCACAAATCCCACCCGTGAAAACAAAAGAGGTCTGCAGAAATCCCGCGGTGGGACCCAATCCCGCGAATGTATGGCGTGTTCGGGTCGTCTTGAGGTCATCTTGAAATCCTCTCCAGGTCCTCTGAAGACCATGGCGTTGCACTCTGGGGGTGCTCTGGCCACGTCGGGGTCGCTCTGGGGCCACCGCGTCTGGTCTCCGGGGCATCGCTCGCATGTTGGGCCATCTTGGATTCGCCCGCTGGCCATCTTCGTGCCCGTCTGAGGCCGTCGTGGAACAATCTTGGGACCATCAGGCCGCCCAGGCAGCCTGTCTGGGTCGTCTGCAGGTCTTCCGTGTTTTCCAAGGAAACTTTCGCTGCGCCTAAGCTTGATCGCGCCTGCCGCACTCCGTGTCATCTCGGCTCAACGCTGATTTGCGGAGCATCCAGGAGCCACTGGACTTTCCCTGCTGTCGCTTTGCTGTTGCATTGCTGTCGCCTCGCGACTGAAAAACTACTCCTGCTCGCGCCTGCCGCGCGCCGTATCATGTCGGCTCAAGGTTGCTTTACAGAAGATCCGGGGGCAACTGGGATGTCCCTGCTGTCGCTGTGCTGTCGCCTTGCTGTCGCCTTGCGAATGAAAGACTGCGCGTCGCCGCTCCAAAAATCCCGGAAATCTTCTGAATTGGGCCCGATGGGATTGCGTGCTCGCCTACGTTGCCGCCCTCTTGGCAAAGTCCCCGATGGATTGAAGGGCAAGATGCGTTGCCCCCCCCTAGGAAAACCTAGGATATCCCTCTTGCGTGGTCTCGGCAGGGGCCTCGGCGAGTAGCTCCTCCTTTAATAATGTAGTTTTAGTCAGGCCAACCACAAATCCCACCCGTGAAAACAAAGAAGGTCCGGATAAATCCCGCGGTGGGACCCAATCCCGCGAATGTATGGCGTGTTCGGGTCGTCTTGAGGTCATCTTGAAATCCTCTCCAGGTCCTCTGAAGACCACGGTGTTGCACTCTGGGAATGCTCTGGCCACGTCGGGGTCGCTCTGGGGCCGCCGCGTCTGGTCTCCGGGGCATCGCTCGCATGTTGGGCCATCTTGGATTCGCCCACCGGCCATTTCGACGCCGCGTCTGGATTCTACGGGGTCTTCCCGGGGTCGCCCTGGGGTCATCTTTGCGCCTGTCGTGGAACCATCTTGGGGCCATCGGGCCGCCCAGGCATCCTATCTGGGTCGTCTGGAGGTCTTCCGTGTTTCCAAAGGAACTTTCGTTGCGCCTAAGCCTGATCGCGCCCGCCGCACTCCGTATCATGTCGGCTCAAGGTTGATTTGCAGAGGATCCGGGGCAACTGAACTGTCCCTGCTGTCGCTTTGCTGATGCCCTGCAAGAAAAAAACTTCGCCTGGTCGCGCCTGCTGCAATCCGTATCATGTCGGCTCAAGTATGGTTTGCAAAGGATCTGGGGGCGACTGAAGTGTCCCTGCTGTCGCTTTGCTGTCGCCTTGCGAAAGTTCCTTGAATGTCCTGAATCGGGCCCGATGGTATTGTGTTCTCGCCTACAGTGCAGCCCTCTTGGCGACGGCCCACATGGGGTTGAAGAGCGGGGTGTGTTGAATCCCCCTCCCCCCTCAGAAGCCTAGCAAGATATCCCTCTTGCGTGGTCTCGGCGGGAGCCTTGGCGAGTAGTTTCCCCCTTTGATAAATATAGTTTTAGCCCAGCCAACCATAAATCCCACCCGTGAAAAAGAAGGTCCGGATAAATCCCGCGGTGGGACCCAATCCCGCGAATGTATGGCGTGTTCGGGTCGTCTTGAGGTCATCTTGACATCCTCTTCAAGTCCTCTGAAGACCACGGTGTTGCACTCTGGGAGTGCTCCTGCCACCTCGGGGTCGCTCTGGGGCGCCGCGTGTGGTCTCCGGGGCATCGCTCACATGTTGGGCCATCTTGGATTCGCCGACCGGCCATCTCGACGCTGCGTCTGGATCCTGCGAGAACTTCTCGGGGTCGCCCTGGGGTCATTTTCGCGCCCGTCTGAAGCAGTCGTGGAACCGTCTTCGGGCCATCGGGCCGCCCAGACATCCTGTCTGGGTCGTCTGGAAGTCTTCCGCGTTCCCAAAGAAACTTTCGTTGCGCCTAAGCCTGATCGCGCCCGCCGCGCTCCGTATCATTTCGGCTCGAGGTTGATTTGCAGAGGATCCGGGGGCAACTGAACTGTCCCTGTTCTCGCTTTGCTGTCGCCTTGCTGTCGGCTTGCGGCTAAGAAACTGCGCCTGCTCGCGCCTGCCGCACTCCGTATATTTCGGCTCAAGGTTGGCAGAGGATCCTGGGGCAACTGGGCTGTCCCTGCTGTCGCCTTGCTGTCGCATCACCGCTCCGAAAGTTCCTTGAATTTTCTGAAGTGGGCCCGATGGCATTGCGTGCTTGCCTACGTTGCAGCCCCCACTCTTGGCGACGGCCCCGATGGGCTTGAGGGGCAGGACGCGTTGAGCCCCCCCTCCCCCCCTAGAAGCCTAGCAAGATATCCCCCTTGCGTGGTCTCGGCGGGAGCCTTGGCGAATAATTTCCAATTGAAAACTATAATTTTAGTCCAGCCAGCCATGAATCCCACCCGTGAAAAAGAAGGTCCGGATAAGTCCCGCGGTGGGACCCAATCCCGCGAATGTATGACGTGTTCGGGTCGTCTTGAGGTCATCTTGACATCCTCTTCAAGTCCTCTGAAGACCATGGTGTTGCACTCTGGGAATGCTCCGGCCACCTCGGGGTCGCTCTGGGGCCGCCGCGTCTGGTCTCCGGGGCATCGCTCGCATGTTGGGCCATCTTGGATTCGCCCGCCGGCCATTTCGACGCTGCGTCTGGATCCCACGGGGACTTCTCGGGGTCGCCCTGGGGTCATCTTCGTGCCCGTCTGAGGCCCTCGTGGAACCATCTTGGGGCCATCGGGCCGCCCAGGCATCCTGTCTGGGTCGTCTGCAGGTCTTCCGTGTTTCCAAAGAAACTTTCGCTGCGCATAAACCTGATCGCGCCTGCCGCACTCCGTGTCATGTCAGCTCGAGGTTGATTTGCAGAGGATCCGGGGGCAACTGAACTGTCCCCGCTGTCGCTTTGCTGTCGCCTTGCTGTCGCCTTGCGAGTGGAACACTACGCCAGATCTCGCCTGCCGCACTCCGTATCATTTCGGCTCAAGGTTGAACTGCGCCTGATCGCGCCTGCCGCACTCCGTATAATTTCGGCCCAAGGTTGATTTGCAGAGGATCCGGGGGCAACTGGACTGTCCCTGCTGTCGCTTTGCTGTCGCCCTGCGAATAAGAAACTGCGCATCGCCGCTCCGGAAGCTCCTTGAGTTCTCTGAATTGGGCCCGATGGTATTGTGTGCTCGCCTACATTGCAGCCCTCTTGGCGACGACCCCGATGGGGTTGAGGGGCATGATGCGTTGAACCTCCCTCCCCCCGTAGAAGCCTAGCAAGATATCCCTCTTGCGCGGTCTCGGCGGGACCCTTGGCGAGTAGCCCCCCCGTGAAAAAGATAGTTTTAGTCCATGAATCCCACCCGTGAAAACAAAGAAGGTCCGGATAAATCCCGCGGTGGGACCCAATCCCGCGAATGTATGACGTGTTCGGGTCGTCTTGAGGTCATCTTGACATCCTCTCCAGGTCCTCTGAAGACCATGGTGTTGCACTCTGGGAGTGCTCCTGCCACCTCGGGGTCGCTCTGGGGCCGCCGCGTGTGGTCTCCGGGGCATCGCTCACATGTTGGGCCATCTTGGATTCGCCCACCGGCCATGTCGACGCTGCGTCTGGACCCCGCGGGGTCTTCCCGGGGTCGCCCCGGGGTCATCTTCGTGCCCGTCTGAGGCCGTCGTGGAACCATCTTGGGGCCATCGGGCCGCCCAGGCATCCTGTCTGGGTCGTCTGCAGGTCTTCCGTGTTTCCAAGGAAACTTTCGTTGCGCCTAAGCCTGATCGCGCCTGCCGCACTCCATATGATTTCGGCTCAAGGTTGATTTGCAGAGGATCCGGGGGCAACTGGACTGTCCCTGCTGTCGCTTTGCTGTCGCCTTGCTGTCGCCTTGCAAGAAAAAACTGCGCCTGATCGCGCCTGCCGCACTCCGTATCATGTCGATCATTTCGGCTCAAGGTTGATTTGCAAAGGATCCTGGGGCAACTGGACTGTCCCTGCTGTCGCTTTGCTGTCGCCTTGCTGTCGCCTTGCGAGAAATACACTGCCCGTCGCCGCTCCGAAAAGTCCTTCAATTTTCTGAATTGGGCACGATGGTATTGTGTGCTCGCCTACATTGCAGCCCTCTTGGCGACGGCCCCGATGGGGTTGAGGGGCAGGATGCGTTGAACCTCCCTCCCCCCGTAGAAGCCAAGCAAGATATCCCTCTTGCGTGGTCGAGTAGTTCACCCTTTCACAATCTAGTTTTAGTCCGGCCAACCATGAATCCCACCCGTGAAACATGGGTCCGGATACATCCCGCGGGGGGACCCATTCCCGCGAATGTATGACGTGTTCGGGTCGTGTTGAGGTCATCTTGAAATCCTTTCCAGGTCCTCTGAAGACCATGGTGTTGTACTCTGGGAGTGCTCCTGCCACCTCGGGGTCGCTCGGGGGCCGCCGCGTCTGGTCTCGGGGGCATCGCTCACATGTTGGGCCATCTTGGATTCGCCCACCGGCCATTTCGACGCTGCGTCTGGATCCTACGGGGTCTTCTCGGGGTAGCCCCAGGGTCATCTTCGTGCCCGTCTGAGGCCGTTCTGGAACCATCTTGGGGCCATCGGGCCGCCCAGGCATCCTGTCTGGGTCGTCTGCAGGTCTTCCGTGTTTCCAAGGAAACTTTCGTTGCGCCTAAGTACGCAAGGAGACGACGGCGAACGTGCAGGCGGGAGGCCAGGACGAAACAGGAACGGCTCGGAGGACACCCCACACACCACACACCCACGCCGATCCCGGCCAGACCCGGATAGGTGTAGGTGCATCGTCGGCGACCTCGGTCCGAAAATGGATCCTGAGGGAAACGGCTGCTGGGCCCCGGGCACCAGAATTTTCCCTCGGACCGGTTTTCCATCCCGAGCAGCTTCTTCACGCTCCGGCGGCCCGGGAGGGCCCTGGGAGGCCGAAACCGGCGAGACGTTCCAGGACCGGACCCGTCTCCTGCCGGATCTGTTTGAGTTGTCAACGCGGCCCTGAAAACCACCTCCTGGGCCTCTCCTGGGATGCGGTTTGGCCAAGCACGTCTCAAAAATGGTATCGAGCCCTGGCAACGAGGACCCCCCCGGAAGCCCCGTCGGGGCCCCAAGCGCCTCAAAACCATTCCCCCTCCTTTTCTCTTCATCGCACGCGCCTTCCGCTTGGTAGGTGCTGCCGCGACGCGGCCGCGGCCGCGCAGGTCTGGGCCCCCTCTGGGGTTCTAGGTCTGGCCGAAACTCTCGCGCTCCCCCATAATGCCGACCGCGGCATGTCAGTTTGGTCCACGCAGGCCGATATCTCGGCGCGCGTCCGCGTGCATGTCTGATCCCGTGGTCGTTGTTTTCACCATGGGTCGTGGCCCTGGCCGGCGCGCGGCGCCCGCCCCTCCTCGATGCCCAGAATCTCCTGGTAGGTGAAGTTCTCCATCTCGGTGTTCAAGATCCGCGAGCGCTCCTGCGGCGGAGCTGAAGGGCGGGGGGTGGGGGCGTTACTCCGCGGCGCGCCGAAGGGTGGGGGAAGGGAGAGCGGGCAGGCCTTCTCAGAAGTCGGCGGGGCTTCTCAGAAACCCTCCAGCCTTCTGAGGAGCCTCCATGTAGCTTCAGAGGAGGCTTAGAAAGCGTCTCAGAAGGCCGCATGGTTTTCTGAGCCATCTGAAAAGGCCCGCCCCCCATAGTCTTCCCTTCTTGGTGCGCCACCGATACATGACTCCTCCCGAAGGGTGGCGCCAAACAGTCCAACTGCTCGAACCCATCGCGCTGCTTGACAAGGTCACTGCCTGCTTGTCACAACACTTGGAAACATCTCCTGCGGTGAGGTGGGTGTGTGGGTGAGTCATGGGAGCCGAGAGCTCTTCTGAAACGCATCTGAGGGGACTGGACGAGGGTGGCTACTTCACGCTGGCTCGGCCCCCGAGCCGAGCCACGCAGCTGCGAGCCACGAAAGGCCAAGTGGGGCTGTCAAAATCGTCCCGTTGCAAGCCTGGGGAGGAAAAAATCCAGTGGGGGCGGAGGAGCTGGGAGACGAGAAAACGAGAAGTGGGGAGGACTCGGCGGTGATCGAGGCCAGCGGGAGCTGCGATGTAAGAAGAAAAAGGCAAATGAGGAACGGGAGATGGGAGAGCAATGAGGAGATCCGCTTCACCGCTGGGGATGGCCTTCAGATTCGCCCGTCTCAGACTTAGGATGAATCCCACTGGGGGCTTCGGGTGGCAGAGGGGGACCACCAGAAGGTGGCCGCTATGCACTGGCGTGCTGACCTTGCGGCGAAGTCGAGGAACATCGAGCGCGAGGAAACTGAGAGCACGGGCCAGGAAAGGGGAAATCGGCGTCGGAATCGCGGAGGAGGGAAGGGGACTCATGGGATCCCAAGCTCTCACTTTGGATGTTGAACCTCCATTCTGGAGGAAAAGAAAATCCAATGGAGGAGCAAATCTTCCAGAAGGGAGGTCGAGCCCCCATCTCGGAGGCTCCCGATCCTGTAGGAAGTGTGCTCGCCACTCTTTGCGTCGACTGTGCCGGGGGGCGAAGCCAGAGACGCCGCTGGGGGGCAGCGCCGAGCGCAAGAAGTCCGTGCGGACCTCCGATCATTTACGCTCATGCCGTTTTTTGTTTGTCGAGTCCCATGAAGATCTCGGCCTCTTCCCTGGGGCTGGTCGTTTGTTTGTGTGACGTTTTTTTTGGTTGTTCCGCTTTTTTGGCCCCAGGGGACCGCTGGAGGCCGCATGGGGCTGTCCAGGGACCTTGGGGGACCTCCAGAGACCTTCAAATCTAGGCGTCATGAACAAGAACTGTGAGGGCCAGTCTTGCCTCGATCTGGACCTCCTGGAGCGCGTTTCGGGCCCCCGGGGCAGCCAAGAGAAACGACTTCGCATTTGAAGCCCGTCCTCAGGATGCGTTACAAAACGGTCGTGACGTCGAGGAGATCAGGCCATCCGACGATCTGATTTGTCGGTCCGCGGGGCCCACAAGGTCTCGACACATTCCCCGGGGGCAAAATCCTCCCGGATCCATTTTTGATGTCCCTGGGGCCAGAAAACGGGCCCTCAAGGCCGATGGAACAAATCAATGTACTCGATTGAACAAACCAATCACCGCGATGCCAATGGAGGAAAAACACCGCGATTGACACCACTTTCCTGCATGTCTGAGACGAGCCCGCGGACGGGCGCGGGCCAGAAGCGCGGGGCTCGCCTGGATGAGGCTCAACATGGGCATCATGATGGGCGGAGCGCTGCTCTTCCCCTGGCGCCGCGGTGCTCCCTCGGAAAGATTCTCCCCCACACCCCAAGTGGAGCTCTTGCTTTCTCTTGACGCTCCGCCAGCAGCAGCAGCAGAAGCAGCAGCAGCACCAGCAGCATCATCATCAACACCTGGTGCTCCCAGACTTAGAATAGTCGTCATCTTTCGGCTCTCGAATGTGAACCCCCCCCCCTTCCCCGTCCCTCATGCCCCCTCCCCCCCCCCCTCCTCCCCCCCCCCCCTCTCCCCCCTCCCCTCCTTACGGGCCCCCACTGGCTGCTTCTAATAATCCCGAATTCGAGGCGGCTGTCGGCCACAGTGTAAATAAAACACAAGCGAAGCCGACTTCGGGTCCACATTGTACTGTGCAGACTCTCCATAATTCTGACAATCCCAAATCCCCTGGGGCCATGTTAAATAGTTTAATGCTCTACAAGCTCTTACTCCTTTTCCGTTGTCGACGCTTTTTGGCTCCTGGGGCTTCCGAGCGTGCGAATGTCATCGCTTTCCCCTTCTCAACCTAAAGCCCCGAACTAACTTCCTACAATATGAAGCGGCTATTGGCATCGGTGTAGAACACACACACATACAAGTGAAGTCGATCTTGGGTGCACTTCGCAATGCGAAGCCAGTACGTGACTCGGATCAGTTTCGAGATGTCAGGGCCACTTTCGATGGTAGAACTGCCTACGAAGTCTTCCCCCTCCTTCTCCTCCTCCTGTGTCCTCGCTGTTTGTCTCCTGGGGGTCCCCAGCGTCAAGCTGTCGTCTTTTTTGCCATGCTTGAGGCTCCCCCCGCTTACTGTTTGTAATCCGAGGTGTCTAATAACAACGGTGTAGAAACACAGGTGGAGTCGACCCGTCAGGTTGTGAGAAATCCATAGTCCACAGGGCGACTTTCTACTGCAAAACGGACTACGAAGTCCTCCTCCTCCTCCTCCTCCTTCTCCTTCTGCTCCTCGCCCTTGCTCTCGCCCTAGTCGTCGTCCTCCTCCTCCGAGTGAAGGAGCGTCTGCAATTCAATGCCCACGAGGCAAGCTGATCTGCTATCGTGCCAACAGCACTCTGGTACGCACCAGGTCCGGTTGCTGTAGTTTCACAAGGGCGACCCTGGCAGCAACCATGCGTCGAAATTCGCGCCACTGCGCGCCAAGACGGCAGCAAGATGCATCCAACGTGGGCCTAGATGACGAAATACGCCCGATGTGCCAGACTCTGATTCCGAGACTCCCTCGGAGGCTTTGAGGGGGTGGCCGACGGGCGCTTGAGCAGGGTCCTCGAAATTCGAAGACATAGAAACGCACACGGCGTTTCAATGCTTGCTCTGTTTTTGCGCCCAGGACGGCCTCAATGAAGTTTCTGAGGACTCCGAAACGGCTCCAGATGGCCCCAACAACATCTCGAGAGGGCTCAAGACGACCTTGCGTGGGCGCCAGGACGGACTGAGGACCCCAAGACTGCTAAAGCCTTCCCACAGGGAGTTCCATGACGGCCGCCAGTGTCGTCCAGACCGCCATAGGATGGTTCTACCTAAACTTTTCGGGAGAGCTCGGTAGCTCCATCGCGCCCAGGACGGCCACGGAGAGGGCCCCAAGAGGCAAGGCAACAAATGTGAGCGGCCTGAACAAGCTGATGATGCTGATGATTGAATACGTGCCCAACATCACGTGACTTCAGCCGCCTTCTGCTCTTGGACGCTTCCACTAATCTCTCGTCCTCCTCAGGAAGAAATGGACCAGTGGCTGAGTGCCTGAATCGCTATGCTGGTTTCGGAAGTGGCCCCGGCTGGGGGATCGGGTAATCAAGCCATGGCAAGTCTTTGGGGCGGCCGAAGCAGGACCTTTGGGCACTCTGAATTGCCAGCTGGAGACGGTCGACCCAACATCAGACCGAATACAACTCCCAAAAGGTTAGATCACTAGGGGGACACTTTTGCTTCCGCTGGCTTCCCGCTGGCGGGCCCGCCCTCGTTGTGCTTCCGCTGGCTTTCGCCGGGATTTCGCCAAGGACGAAATTCCAACTTATCGATGCCTGGAAGGCGAGGCCCTGAGGCCCCCTGTGTGCATTGCGATCCGCGCGCAACTTTGTTGTCCCGCAAAGTGTCAACCCCTTCGGCCGGGCACGCAGGAACAGCTCCGCCACGAGGTCGTCTGCGCGATCGAGCACACGCAGTGATGGCGTGCGAGTGTCTGTAATCCGAAGATGCCGTGTCGCAGCGGGAATCAGCATCCCGCAGCACACTCACGACCGTCTCCACGCACTGGGGGCGCCTCGTCGCGGTGGTTGCTGGCTAGCCAAAAAGGGCCCGCACTGGACATACTCGTCGCGCATGTGAACAAGGGAGAACCTTCATGATTTGCGAGCATGGGCGCCACCCTGCTCGTCATAACTCCTGGTCTCGCGAGTCCCACCCGTCGGGGACGTGCGGCTTCGAAGGGCTCCAGTCGCCTCCCATTACCCAGTGCTGCGACTCGTCGTCGCACTGGACAAGCTCGGTGGGCTGCGACAGAGCAATCGAGCGGCCATTCACCTGGCCCTCCCGACCCGCGAGGTACAGGGACCGCGCCCGGGCGCCGCGGGCGAACGCGGTGCGCGCAAATGTGGTCTGCGTCATGGACCACGCGCCGACCACTGCGAGGTCGGCCTCGCCCAGGAGCCACCAGTCTGCGAGCGCCTCGGCCACGGCCCGCTGGTAGCCCTCGACCGGGCCGCCTGGCTGACGAGCCGCGAGGTCGGGGCGGCTGTGGCGGCCCCGGCTTCCAGACGATCGGAGGGCTCCAACTACATGTACTTACGCCGATGCTTGCTAGGCTCATCCAGGGCTCGGGATCGGTATATACCCGCTCCTGGCTTGGCGAGGAAGCCATGTGTACCAGTCCCGAGCACAGGACTGGCCTGGCCAGGATCGGTGGAGGTGTATGGCTAATGCCCTTCGAGACGAGGCCACCCAGCGGCCCCCGGTGCACCCGCTGGGGCTGGCGGAGCAGCCGCTGGCCGGGCCCGACTCGTCGAACTCCTCCACCAGAGCTCTCCGGACAGCGGGGTCGTCGCTGGACACGAACCACACGACCCTGTCGAATCCTGGGCCCCAGCGGGCCTCCAGCTGCAGGGCGCAGCGCGCCGTGGCGTAGAAGCCGTAGCGCTGCCCGTCCGTCCACTCCTCCTTCGGGGGCAGCCTCGCCGCGTCGATCTCTGCGTCGCTCATCCGCTGGTTTCTGTCGTCGGAAAAATTGGAGCGCATGTAGATGGCGATGGAGAGCGTGCGCTCGTCGTTCATCGCCGAGCGCACGTCCTCGAAGCCGGGCACGGTCCTCCCCAGCAAGGGCGAGGGCCTGTACAGCGCGTTCAGGATGCAGCCAGCGCAGGGCGCGCTCGCGCCCACGTCATGCTCCTTGGAGGACCTCTCGGCGGCGCGCCGAGGGGAAGTGGGACGGGACGGGGCCTTCTCAGAAGGCTCAGAAATCCTCTGGTCTGCTGAGCCTGATATTGCAACGAGTCCCGACCTTGGAGGACAGGTGGGCGTGACATGCGAGGACGAGATGGGTAAATAGGAGGATGCCTGTATGGCGCATTGTGTTGGTTCCCGTGTTGTCTGTTTGACGCTCTGACGCTTTGACGGAGCGTCTCTGGCCATCTTTGGGGCCCTCTTGGGCAGCCTTCGGAACAAGGCCTCTGGCCTTCTGAACACGTTTTCTAAGCTTTCTTCCGACGCCACAGAAGGCTTCTCCGAAGGCCGGGGCTTCTCCGAAGCCCCGCCGCCTTCTGAGAAGGCCCGCCCCATCCCTCTCGCTTCCCCCCCTCGGCGCGCCGCCGAACCTCGTCAGGAAGCGCCACGGGTTGAACGCGTTGCGCAGGAAACCGCAGACGGGGTGGTACGGGCGGTGGACCCCAGGGCCTCGGGGACGCACTGACCCGGGTCAACACAAACCCGGCTCGGCCAGGGCCCTGTCGCGAAGCCCATCAGCCCCAAACCCGGGTCAGAAAAGGGGACTCGGCCCCACGTGGCTCCCAAATCTGAGTCAGCCGGAGGGGATCGGCTGACCCCCCTTTGGTGCTGAACCCCCGTGAGCCCCGAACCCCGAGGGCCTCCGAAGAGGCGGCACGCGGGCTCCCTGCAGCCGGCCGCCACCGCCCCGCCGGCGGCGTCCCAGTCCACCACGGCCGGCTCGAGGATGGCTGTCAGGCTGACGTTCTGCCACCCGATGTGCAGGCCTGGAGGGACCGCTACGATGGCCATGGCCAAGACTGAGCGCAGAAGCGTCGGTGCTGATCTTCGTCCATCGTGGTCATCGCCGGTTCGTGGATCCTTCTCGCGACTCGGCGACGGCCCGCCTGGACCATGACCAGGATCAGCATCGACAGGATCTCGCGGCATCGTGATCATAGTCATCGCCGTCGTGTTTCGTCACTCGCAGGCCGTGACCGCCGTCCGCCGCCCTCGCGAAGGCGTTGACGCTCTGCTGCATGAAATCGGCGACCCCCTCGGATGGCGTCGGGCCGTCGACGAAGAGCACCCGGCTGGGCCAGGCTGAGGCTCGGCGGCGAGCGAGAGGGGGAAATGAGCAGGAGAAGGCCTGGTCAGAAGGCTCGGAAGTTCCCCAACCTTCCGAGAAGTTTTCTAAGCCTTCCCCGAAGACACAAAAAACTTCCCAGAAGGCGCGAGGGCTCCTGAGAAGTCCCGCCGCCTTCTGAGAAGGCCTTCTCCTTCTCACTTCCCCCCCTCGCTCGCCGCCGAGAGGCGTCCTCGTGCATCTGCCGGAGCCTCTCGGGCAGTGCCAAGGAGGGGGGGTCACCCCTGGAGGGGTCGCCACCTCCTCCAGGAGACGCACCTCCAGGACACCCCAGGACTCCCAAACCAAGAACACGTCCATCGTTGGGGGCCCCAGGTCCGTGTGGTGACAGACCGTGCGGTGACCTCGAAATCCTGACACCGCCCGGTCCGTCACCGCAGGGCTTTGGGACCTTGGAGGCCTCCGTAGCCCCAGACGTCCTCGGAGAACGACCCGAGTCCCAAAACCGTGCGGTCACCCCGAATCCCCACTGACTGCCTCACGACACAGTGTGGTCACCGCACCGTTCGGGGGCCCCGGGCAAAAGCGTCCGAAACCTGTTCGACCTTCGATCCTCCCCCTCCTCGATCTCCGGCTTCCAGGAGGCGGTGGTGTCCCTCCCCGGCGGTGACTCCCCTTTGCATCTGCCCGAGCCTCAACGCGTACGCCTGCGCCCCCGGGCACAGCAGGTCGAACTCCGGGGAGCCCGCGGCCGGGAAACGCCCGTCCTACGATCATAGGACAAAAGTGCATGAGCGAATCTTTCGGAGGGCGGCGCGGATGTCTTGGAACGGCGCTGGGCACCCTTGGCGGCGCCTCCAGCGCCGCCCCCGGCGCGCTCCGCGCGCCAGGGAGGGGGGCTCCAGCGGCGACCCAAGAAGTCCGTGCGGACCTCCGGAGGCTTCTGCTTCTGCCGCTCTCTCTCTTCTTCGACGTCCGGCGTGGGCGCGGCCTTGGCCGCCCGCAGGGGGGACGGCAGGGCCGCGGGGCGCCCCGGGCCCGGGCGGCTGGCGCCGCCCAGGCGGCGGCGGAGCCGCTCCACGTCGCCCTCGACCTCCCCGGCTGCCGCGCAGGAAGATCAGCCCTCGGCAAACCATGGCCCCTGGTGCGCGGTCTGTCGCAGCGCTAGGCAGGTGGTGCGCCTGCGCGCCCGTGCCTTCGGCCCCCGCCCGCGCACCCGAGCGCCGCGCACCAAGGGCCCCTCTGAAGGCGGAGGGCCACTACCCAGACACCCGACGATGTGATCTTTGCACCGCGCAGCCTCGAGCTACGGACCCCTTCCCTGCAATGGAGATAGTTTTTCGTCCCGGATCCGCCATTGCCTGTTGAGAGAAAAACCGCGGCTGACACACTAACCATATCGTCGGAGGCCTTGGGCTCCTGCGCGCAGCCCGGCACCTTCGTGAGAACGCCCTCTGGGCCCGGCCACGTCGCTTTCCGGCCGTCCCACAAACTCCAATTGGCCACAGCCCCCAGCCTGCACTGGCCAGATGCCCAGGCGCAGTCACCGTTGCACCACTGGGCGCCGTGGCCCTGTGGGCACTGCTCGCAGGCAGGCGCCCGGTGACCTCCGCAGCTCACGTCGCCAGGCGCGCCGAGGGGCGCCGGCGACGCGAAGAGAAGGGCGAAGAAGCAGCTCAAGCGTGCCATGGCTGCCCATGCTGGTCGCCCGTGCCGGGCTCCTGGCCAGCCCTTGTCCGAGGCGGCCGCCGAAGCCACAGGTGGCCACGGAGGAGGAGGAGGAGGAGGAGGAGGAGGAGGAGGAGGAGGAGGAGGAGGAGGAGTAGGAGGAGGAGAGAGGAAGAGGAGGAGGAGGAGGAGTCCGTTGCCATTTTGGCTCAAGTAATCCATATCCTCAAGGTGGTTGAGTCAACCCGCTGCACCCTCGGGCTGCTCTCAGGTAGGCGGCATAGACTCGGGAGCAGACCCCTTCATATTCCATCTTACAGCGTGTGCTGCCACATCCATATTCCGTATACTGAGGCGCAGACGCAGGCCCCAAGTGGGTGTGCGCCTTTTGCGGATGCAAAAAGAACCTGGCCTCGTTCGAGTACTGCAAGCACTGCCAGGAGTGGAAAGTCGAAGCCCCAACGGACCCTGATGCGCACGCCCTCCTGGCTCTTCCTGGTCCTGGTGATCGCAGCGGTCGTCGGCAATCCCGTGGGGCAGGCCGTCAACGGACGGAACTCCAGCCTGAAGCAGCGCCAGCAGGACATATGCCAGGTCCTGGGAGCGCGGGGCCCACAGAGGAGGAGCTCGAGAACGGTATTGCGCTGGCCACCAAGCTCGGGGACAAGGACACTGCCCGCAAGTATGAGGTACGGCTGGCTGAGCTTCGCAAGGGCCCCAACCTCACCATCCAGGAGCGAGCCCAGATCTGCCACGCCCGCACCAAGCAGCTGGAGGAGGCTCTGGGCGTGGAGGTCGGGAAGCTTGACACGTACCAGAGCTGGGTCCGCACTCAGACTGAATGTGTCAAGAAACTCGAGCTGGCTCTTGCTGAAACAGACGGAGAATACGCTCTCATCGTTTCCGAGCTTGCAGACAAGATTGGCAAATATGCTGAAGGTGACAAGAAGCTACAAGGGTCAAATGTTCCTCTCGCCAGCGTCGTGGCGGGGAAGTCGGACATCACCAGTCTCATTGACATCGACGGTTTCTTCAAGGTTGGTGACGAGCTCGAGCTCACCCCCGATGATGTCAAAGCGCTGGAGGAACGCAAGGACCAGCTGCGACTACAGGTGCAGACAACTACCAAGGACATGTTCCGCGACGCCATGGTCAAGGTCGAGAAGGTCAAGGCGGAGCACGAGGCACATGTACAACGGCTCGCTCGCAAACGTGGACGCACTTAACCTCCTGCAGATGCGGCAGCCGCCGAAGATGCTAGGAGCGCTGACGCTAAGGTTGCCCCTGAACGCCAGCCTGCAGGTGCGGCTGGGCAAGGAACCTGGGCTGCTGCAGCAGCCAAAAGCGGTGCGACAGCAGCCAGCAGCGAGAAGACCAAGGGCAGCGCCGACAGCGAGGACATCCGCTCCAGGACTGCCCGAGCTCTTGGAGGTGAAGCACAGGGCCAGTCGCAGCCCTGATGCCCCCTTGTGGAACCAGAGCGGCGGCGGTCCCCTGGCGACCGATCGCAGCCACCACAGGGGGGAGGAGCAAAGTAATACCATAGACGTGGATGAGGAAGATCACCCATTTCTCTCCGACTACTTCTGGGACACGACGCCCCTACCACCACCGTCGACAAGGATCGATTGGCGTCGGGCTCGGAGGGCTACGGCAGCATCAAGTTCAGCGGCCTCCAATGGATCGGCGGCCTTGTCTTCGGCGATTGCCTTGTCGACATGTTCCGCACTCTCCGCCCCAGGGAAGGTGGAGACCCCGCTCCAGACGCATCCCTCGGAAGACCCAAGTCCTAGGCTTGGGGCCCCCCGAGCTGCAACCTGGGCCGGGGAATCGCTGGAGGGGCGGTACAGCGCACCACATGATGACCTTGTACGCTGCGGCGCGGCCTCGTCGGTTTCGGCTACACCAGGAACTGAGCCTGGGTTGGGGCAAAGCCCAATCCAGACGGCTAACGCGATTACCCGCTCTGTCTGCAGTGCCAGCCGTGTCGGTCGGCCTACAGTATCTTTTTCGCAGGCACCTGTGGTCGCGATTGAAGACCCGTCTGCCTCCCCGATCGCACAGCCAGAACTGCCCCCTGGGCCAGCGGCCAAGGAGAACAAACGCAAAGCGATCCATATCGAGACATGCAACTGTACCTCGCTCGCATCCTTCAAGCGATATCTGGGGGAAGAGACCAGTGCCTCGATCATCTGCCTCCAAGAGCTCACCATGAAGGAGATCGAGAGGGCCGAGGTAGAGGCCACGATGCGCAAGCAGGGCTGGCAATGCATCCTCAGCCCCTCCGTGGTCACCGACCTAGGAAGACTGTCCTGTGGTGTTGGAATAGCAGTCGGGAGTCACATCGGGCTTGGGCTTCCCCCCCTCTGAGCAGACCCCTTCCAACCCCCCACAGGTGCCAGTTGTCCTGGGTTAACGCGTTCGTCCGAGGGGGCTTCATTTTCGGGAGCTTGTACCTCCCCCAGGGGGACCCCCTGGGAGAGGTTGGGGGGCACCTCCTCTCCAGGTTTTGGGAAGCCTTTATGGCCGGGGGGTCCCCTTCATCCTCGGGGGGGACTGGAATTGCGAACCCCAAACCCTCAGAGAAGCTGGATGGGTGGAGCGCCTCGGAGGACAGATCGTGGCGCCCTCTGTCTCCACGTGTCGCTCGACGGCGCAGAGATGGAAGATGATTGATTTCTTCGTCTGCTCGGCTGCGCTGGCGCCCTCCTTTTCCAAAGTAGATCGTAATGTGAATGCGACCGCCAGCCCTCGCTGGCCAGTCAATGCGACCCTGAGCGGGAACCCACGGCCCGATCAAGTTTGGATCTTGCCGCGGCCGCGGGCTTTCCCCCTTTGGGTTCCCATGGGGCCTCCTCCTGCCCCACCCGACTACTCCGAGCTGTGTGGAAGAGCGAGGAAAGGGGGCACTGGACTGGATCTTGACAGGTGTTTCGGGGAGTTCCTCACCAAATTAGGGCATGAGCTTGGGGGGATTTACCAAGTCGATGGGTCTGAGCATTTCGGTCGTAACCAGCAGAGGCGACTCAAGCAGGTCCCAGCCTTGAGAACGTCGGGTGGTGCGTATCCTCTTGGATGTCCTCAATCTCGGGCGTGGCGCAAGGTCGCTATCTGGCTCCATGGGCTGGATCACCTTCGGGACCGCGACTCGGCCTGGGAAGGGCTTGAATCGCGAAGACTGGTCGCCGAGCTTTTGAAAAGACCTCCCAGCCTCAGGGGAGACCCGCACTGGATAGGGTGGAGGCCTGCCTTTCCTGATGTTGTTTTTGCTTGCTCCGCCGCTGAATTAGTGGAGCGGAAGAAGCTAGCCGTTTCGCCGCCAATCTTGAGCTGAAGTTTAAAGCCGACCGAGGGGCCCGCTGGAGGGAGTGGGTCAAGGAAGCGGTGGAAAACGGCGGAGGTAAAGCCCACACGTATTCGAAAGCGCCCATCGGGTGGACTCCAGCGGCTGTGAAACCTGGGAGGCCGCCCCCAGGGCCAGGGGCCCTCATGGAGCAGATGCAAGAAGTTTGGGGAGAGGTCTGGGGTCCCCCACCTGATGCCAGTAGCTCGCCTGGCCCGTTTGCTTACCTCGACCACCATATAGCTGGACTTTGTCGGGGCGTCCACGCTACTGGGCAGCAGCCGCGCGCGCTGAGCGCGGACGACGCCAAGTCGGCTGCGCGAAAGTTTGAGCAACGTACCGCCCTCGGCTCTGACGGGATCCATCCGAAGGATCTCAGCAGGGTGTCGGACGGGGCTCTCGAGGCCTTGTGTGTCCTCTGGGCGTGGTACGAATCCATCGGGCACGCCCCGATTCAGCTCGATTTGGTGTTTACCGCCCTCCTCCCCAAGCCCGAAAGGGGGTTCAGGCCCATCGGGCTGCTGCCTGGGATCTGCCGAGTCATGAACAAAGCCACTCGTCAGGATGCTGTCGACTGGGAGGAAAGTCAGGGGCTGTCGTATCACTGTGGGTCCACGGGCCGAAGTTGCGAGCGAGATGTCTGGGAGCAAGCGCAAGCCACCGAGTTCGGTAACCTTGTTGGGATCGGGACTGGCGCGGCCTTGGTGGACCTCACCAAGGCCTACGAAACGGTCCTGCATTTTATGTTGGCCCAGG